TTTTTTTTAGCACCTGGTGAGTTTGTTCTTCCCTCTGCCTAAAGTGGAGGAAAAATTAAACCTCTAGAAACTGAAAGTGTTGGCAGCAGCCAGGTTAATGAACTGTGTGAGTGAGAACTTACAAAAACAATGGTGAGTGCACAGCCTGGAAGAGACAGCTCTGCACGCCTTCTAGAGAGGCAGGTAAGATGGTGACAGGCCCAGAAAAGCACAGACTACCTGAGCAGCCCAGGACAGGAGTGGCCCTCCTCAGGGCATTCTCAATGTCTCAGCAAGGAAACCTCTCCATAGGAGCTCCCAAGCTGAGAACAAAGGGATGGGAATTCCCAGGGAATTGTTTGGCAACCACCACCAAAACTCTGAGGGGCCAGAACCTTTTCTTCCTTCCTTCCTTCCTTTTTTTTTTTTTTTTTGAGACAGTCTTACTCTGTCACCCAGGTTGAAGTGCAGTGGCACAATCTTGGCTCACTGCAACCTCCACCTCCTGGGATCATGCAATTCTCCTGCTCAGCCTCCCGAGTAGCTGGGACTACAGGCACACGTCACCACACCCAGCTGGATCATGTGGCCCTTCTTGGAGCAGGAGGAGAGAGTCCACCTCACTTGAACTGTGAACTGAGAATAAGGTGGGCAGGAGGGTGTGTGTCAGTATCAGAAACAAAGGCATAGATATATTGGTCATATGACACAAAACAGTAGACATCCACTATTACATAGCTGCTGGCCCCTCCCAAGTGCAGAGGGAGCTCAGAGCCCTGTTTATTTAGCGTCTATGCCCCTGTTGCCACTGGACCCCACCCCAATGCTGTCTGAGCTCCAACTCTCTCTACCTGTTCATTCTAGCTAACCCATGTCCTGTGTCACCATACAGTTGTTTTTCCAGGACAACTCCAATTTCAAATACGCTGTCCCTAGGGCCCCCATAAACATTTATACTTAGTAGATCACATGTTGTAATCAATCTTTGCTTTAGAAAGTGTGGTCACAGTATGCAGCATTCCAGGAAGAGGTCACAAGAGAAACTGACCCTGAGTCATGCCTTCACCTCCTTCACCACCAACAGCTGAGATATGTCTGAAAAGAGGCTGAGATGCTGCCCTCCGGGGTTTTTTTTATCTTGGTCACTGCAGAACCTCACCTCCTGGGGAGGCAATGCAATTTCTTCCTGCTTCAGCCTCCCGAGTAGCTGGGACTACAGGCAGCACGTCAGCCAGCAGCCCACGCTAATTTTTGTATTTTTAGGTAGAGACAGGGTGTGCACCCTGTTG